CCATCCCACATCATTTCATCATTTATTTGTCATGTACAAGTATAGCTATCCAGCGGATATTCAAGGAATAAACAAAAGGTACGACTACGACACGGGACACTCGACCCATGGCGTAAGGAGCTTCTTCCCTAAAAGAAGCTCTGTTTGCACCTGCAGCTCCATTTAATGGTAGTGCTATGTCACACCTGTCCCGTTATTAGGGAGGCGATCGCCGGGCTAATTCCAAGAGCCGAAGTATCGGCCCCCCGAACCGCACCACGAAAGCGTGGACAATTTAGAAAAGGTCCTTATTGGTGCGCCAGCGGACGCCGGCTGTGGCCCAAAGAACAAGTCAGAGCCGAGAGTTGATAAACAAACAAATTATATTCTCAATAATGGCAGATCGAAAATAATACACAAAAATGCACACTCCACACTAGTTGCATACAATATGCCACCAATCAAACCAATCAATCTACGTGCTGCACAATACAATCAGCCACACTTAAAACAACGGACACGGACAACAATACGCACTACAATGCAGTCGCATGCATTTAACATCCAAGACACTTAAAGACTAAAGAGATAGAAAACCTATTCAGTCCAAAGTCATTGGAACAAAAGTCTGAATGATACTCTTCCGAGAATCACTCACTCAAAGTCCAGCGTTGTTGTCGTTCCGCAGCCCTCGAAGTTTCTCTTCCAGGAAACCTCCCCGGAGTTTCTCTTCCAGGAAAACTCCCGTCTTCAATTGGCCACTCTTCAGACTTCAACTTCTTCGCCGGAAGACCGTCGGCTTCACACACGCAGCTGTTGCCCGCGTCTTCGCTCGATAGCGGTAAACCCACGCTCTTGCCTGTAGCTCGAGCCGTCCCTACGGACCAAAACTTCGCCGACTACACGGCGGAATCTCTACGCACTCTGGCGCTCACTTCCGTCTCCTCCTGTTCTGTCACTACGGGCAGAACCTTCGCCGACTACACGGCGGAATCCCTACGCGCTCTGGCGTTAACTTCCGTCTCCTCCTGCTTTCTCGTCTCGGCTGCTCGATTAAATACGTTCCGCGCCACCTTCCAGAAGGTTCTCCTAATTTCGTCGGCGCGACGCGCAGCGAAGGCTGGGGAGAGGCACGAGACGGTTCGACTGCCCTTCCCGGAGGATGATTCACTCGGTCTGACCCCGCCTCCTTCGTTCTAGAAAAATCGCGGCCTTGCTGGGCCGCCGATGTGGGGTGAGGAGGATCGTCTGCGAAGCCGTGCTTCTGCGGGGAGAGCGCGCGCCCGGGAGCCTTGGATGTTTGCTTTCTCTTTTTTTTTCTTTTTACCTCGTGGCGTTTCTGCCGCCCGTTGTCGCAAGGATTTGGCGGCGCGCTCTTTTTTAGCGCTCGTTCTGTGACATGCTAAAGCGAAACGTCTCTGATCTTGACACTGTGAGGCCCGAGGAACCACAACAAGAAATTTGATAGCATGTGGTACACGCTGGGCCTCTCGAACTAAGACTATGCCCTGAAACGTTCACACTGTCTTGCTGCCAAGGAAAATGCCAGCTGGTTGAACTCCCAAAATAACACCTAATACCACAAACAGAGCTAAGCAAAAGCTACACGATACAACAGTGATGGCACACGCACAGCGCCTTCACTTTGTCTAGGTAAGCTAAACCCTTCCTGCACGCACAGTGGTCCGTCTGACGGTCCCGGCCGCACGTCGGCTGCGTTTTTGAAGTTCGTGAGTAGGACACGCGCATCACTGGTTCGCAGCACGTGTCACGCAAGGCGCACGGCAGTCGTGGTTCCCACACACTCTCCTCTTGAAAGAAGGGGCTTCACTCACATGGTTACTGTCATCACCTCCCATGATGACGTTCTTCACTTCGGGTGCCACCGATGCAGTCTTTGCATCTGACGTCGGCCTTACAAGCGATGCCCAACATGCCCGTGATATTCTCACTGTCACCGGGCTCGATATCTTGATGTAACCTTTGTTCTTCGAAGCAGCAGTGGTTTCCTTAGCTTTTATCATGGCAAATGAAGCTCCGTCCTGTAATTTGCGCAGGACGCCACAGAGCTTATGTCTACACAACAGCGCCTCGCTGTCGGCCATTCACGAGTTGTTGGACAGGCCGTTCCGCAGGGGCATGTGGGTAAGCTCACTGTCCGCGGTTTCAGTTGTCATCATCACCGTGACCTTGCCATTAAGCTTTGAATTAGGAGTAGTGGTCTTATTGGACTGATCTCTGCCGCTTGCAGGGGCGCCTTTTGTGGCCTCCGCCACAACTGCTGCTGCAACTTTACCCACGGTATGCGTCTTTGCAACGGCATCCGCACTAGGTGTAGGCGTGCGAGTAGTACTGGCTTTCGCAGCAGCGGCTTGGTCCTCATCGCTGATGTACTCATTCAAGTCCTGGTTTAACAATAGCGTACACAAGCAAGATTGTCTCAGCCCCGCAATTTTCGTCTTCGGCCCCAGAAGTCGTCAAAATTTTTATGACGTTTACTTCGTCGTCTTCGTTATCACCGCCAGCTTCATCGCTGTGCCCACTAGGGTCGACTTCACCCTGGTTCCGCTTCTCGCTTGGTCGGCCTGTTCCAGCTTGCCTTCGCCGAGCACTTTCTGCTCTTGGTCCTGTGCCGGCATGCCCGTTTGCTCAGGCAGAAGTGTCACCCATCGTCCCCCAGCCACGGTCGGGACCATAATTTCTTTCGCTTCGATGTATACACCGTAGTCATTTCGTCCATCCGTTAAAAAGCCTCCCGAAACCCTTGCATTCTTGCTTCCATATCACTGGTAGGAGACACGCAACACGCTCATTGGCCGCCAGATGAAGGGTTCATGCCTTCTTGCTGCCAAATAAATGATGCGGGTCAGTTGAACTCCAAAAATAAACATTTATTAATAACACTAACAGAATTACGCAAAGGTTACACGATACAGCAGTGCGGGTACACACACTGCCCCTAACCTTCACCCCACTGGAGCGCACCCTTACTGCGCGCACAGCAGTCTGTTGCCACCTCTACTGGCCGTGCCTCGGCTGCCGCTTTTAGTGTCCGCGAGTATGACACACGCATAACTGGTGCGCAGCACTTGTCAAACAAGTCGCACGATCGGCGTGATTGATACAGTCCCCAGCATGAAAATAGTCGAATCAGCAGTGTTCCTCCAGAAGATTTTAAACGACCTTGCTGTGTAGAACTGTTAGAAGTCTTTGCTTAAGCGCTTGCTGAAAAATTTACAGCGTTGACCATAGGCTTCATATGCGTCCACATCAGGCAAACTAAATTTGACAAATAACTCCTGGGGCATGCAGAACAAGCTTGCATTGGTTATATCGTGGCAAGGGTGGTAAGTTGAGAAATAGCGCACTGTCAGAGAAGTGTACCTACTTGTGCACGGGAATCGCTTCAGCCGAGCTCTAGTTCAAAGCATTTGACTGACATGTGGGGTTAAAGTCCCCAAACCACCATATGATTATGAAAGACGCCGTAGTGGAGGGCTCGAGAAATTTCGACCACCTGGGGTTCTTTAACGTGCACACAAATCTGAGCACACCTCTAGTTTAAAGCAAACGTATTGAAAGTCTCTCCTGAGCAGGATACAACAGCATGTGCCGTGGTGGACTGTTCAGTGGAGGGCCACGAGTATAAGAAAGGTTCGGTTTGAACATCGCTATCACTGTCGCTTTGTGAACCGACCGATGAGAGATCCCAAACAGTGGATTAAAATTGTATGGTGACCGATGGCGATAAAATGATTCGACATGATGGCTGCGGAGTGGTGTCTACCACGGAGATCTTGTTGCAATTCAAAACAGGGTCACATGGTGCCGGATTCAGATTTTATGTAAAGCATATTTTCACTGCCGGGTGGATTGAGTGCCTCGTGAGTTGAAAAATTCTTGTAAGCAGAAGACAAATATTTGTATGCGTATCTCTCTCAAGGTCTCAGTCAATTCAAAGCAGCTGTCGCATTACCACTGATGCCACTAGTGTGCGAGTGTGTCTTCAGGGGTGCTCAATGTAGCAGGACGACCCCAGCAGAACTGGGCGAGAGTTGCCTCTGGGCCACAACATACTCATCACGAGTAAAACCAAATGGAGTTGAATAGCACAGCACTGAATGCGTCCAAGATCTGAGAAGTGACCACGGCAGGTAGTATTTCGAATAGAAGTCGTATGTGTCAATATGGGATACGCAGATCTCACCAAGTCGTAACACTGCAATGTGAGTGGCGAGGAGTAGTCTTGCTGTACCAGTTTAGAGATCTAGAACTGTACGAAACGGGAGCAAATCCTCATGTGGAAAAGGCACTTGCACTGGCGTGCAGGTTCACAAAGCTGGGGCATGTTTCACTGGTGCACCTCTATTAAGATATATGGGACCACGTCCCAAGAGAAAGTGGATATGCTTTTGAGTACCGAGGGTGCGCATTGTATTCGGCGATTGTATATCAAGCCTTTCCACTGGTGTAGTTCGTAAACTACTACGCGCGTGGTGTCCGACCAGAGTGCAACCTAACGCCTGGAGGCATGGTGACGCTGACATGGAAAACAGTACGAAGACCAAGACAGTACAGGCGCACATACAATCGCACGTTGCACAGTTGAATCAACTAGCCGACATGTTAAACCTAAGCACTTCAGTATTGCTTCGCTATACAATTATAGCTACGTGTACCTTGTTCGGCTGGCGTCACTCAGTTATCGCGTGGAGCAGTTCCAGTCTCTCCACTTTTAGGGCTTCAAGTGAAAGTGCTTCATGAACGTTTGTAGGACGACCGAGCTACGCAAAGGTCTGACTTGAGACTTCACAAATGCTTATAGTTTAAATGACCTCCTTAAGGCTGTGGCGTCAGCTTGAGAGGCACTATGGTTTTTATAGGGCATGACTTATAAGTGCGGGACCACCGAGATTCACGATAGAACTCGCCATCTTGTTTTCATAATAACATTGCTTTAAACACGGTGTCAATGGGTTGGTATAGTGATTATCCTATCTATTTCAGGGACGACCACTTACCATTGACGAGCGTATTAATGTGTGTGTCATTGACTGCCATTGCCAGGTTGCCACTAGAAAAACAAAGCAAATTTTTAGCCTCACACAACAGTGCAATATCGTCAACTAAACACAAGCAAAAAAAACATTCTCTCAAATTACCTATATTGTCGAGTACTTTAAGTGATGCAAACCTGTGTTTGGCTAGTATCTGGAACTTTACGCCGTGAAGTACAGAAATACTAGCTAAAAAATTGGACCGAATCTACATGTTACACTGTAAATGTCGTCGAAAGACGGTAGTCTTGCGTCTGGAGAGAATGAACAAAACGTTTATTTGATGTTCTGCGCAAGCAAATCGGTGAATGGTATTATAGAGGCGCTGCGTTACAATGCCTCGAGCGTGTGGCGGAGGCGAACGAGCGCATCGAGGCACGTTAGACACAAGTGCCATCGGGCAGTTATCTTCGAAAACGAAGCGTGCAGCCCGCGGAGAAAGATGCGTGCCAGTCTCGGAGGTGATAAGGTGTAGAACGCAAAGCGACGGGTGGGTGCCACCACCGTGACGTCGGAGCAAAGCGTTGGAAACGCCTTTTTGAGCATCCCGTTGCACTCTTAGCGCAGCACGATTAAACACTGCATCCCTTGGAGTTACTTCTGTGTACTTATTCTTGTATAAAGGCAGACCTAGAAAACATCGAAGTGGTGTTGTGGCTCTTCAGATATGCGCAATAATTGCTTTTTAATTGACAATCGCACAACTATGACCGCTAAAGCTTGAGCAATATTGGTGGGCGCTGCGGATAGGGTTGGCCGTTTGGTGCCATTTGAAGTAGCGTGAGGGCGGACAAACAGACAATTGTACAGACAGACAAACAGACCAACATTTTTGCGTGGAAGGTGCCCAAGAAAGACTATCGTCTTTAAAAGTCGTGATGGAGTGACGAGCAAGCGAAGCAAACGCATAACGTCGCTCGCTCAGAGCTAGGGCAAAGTGTGTTTCGAAGGAGGGAGGGGGGAGGGTTGGCCCGGCAAAGGTGGGACTGCGAACGCCGTCAGTGCCGTCTACGCGTCCTTCTTCCTTCCGTTTTTGTTTAAACTCTTCGCACAAAAGAAGGAGCTGCCACGAACTAAACCACCATGTTTTATAATAATAATAATAATAATAATAATAATAATAATAATAATAATAATAATAATAATAATAATAATAATAATAATAATAATAATAATAATAATAATAATAATAATAATAATAATAATAATAATAATAATAATAATAATAATAATAATAATAATAATAATAATAATAATAATAATAATGATAATAATAATAACAACAATAATAATAATAGTAATATAATAATAATAATAATAATAATGGTCGGATTTCCCGGAACCCTCTACTACACCGTCTGTGATATTATTATGGTGGTTTTGGGACGCTAAACTCAATAAGTATTTATAATTATTAGACCACAAAAAGGTTCACACGGCTGAAGAGAGAGGCCGCTCACCAGAATTGCGGTGCGCTGCCAAGCGAGACTGCTGGTCTCTACTCGGTAAATGTAGCAAGTGACGTATTACAGCGGTAACAGCTAGACACGACTATGCTGTACTTGAATAGAACTTGACATCACTTGGCGATACTTTATACAAAGTATCATAATTTTGCATCGCGTCGTATAACTTGGCATCACTTCGTACGACCATACCCACCTATGAACAAATCAGCTCAGTTCTACCTTCAACGTTTCAGCATTTTCTAAGCAGCAAGAAATGCTGAAATATTTTAAAAAGCGCTCAGCAGACACTTATAATCCTGTGCAGAACAATGCACGTACCTGAGTAGCTGCAAAGTAAGGTCACAATGTGTAAACTGGCATGAGTTCATCAGGTTAACGGTAGCGTCTCGGGCACTTAATATGTCGGTTGCGCAGATACACTCAGAGCTGAGTATGTCGACTGTCAGCCCACAAATTGTTCTGCCAGCGATATCTCGATCCTGAAAGAACAAAGCATGAGAAACTAAATATGTGAACAAAAAAAATTGCCCGCAGCTTCCCTCGGGGGAACACTGAGGAGGATGCGGAGCATATAATTGGTTAACGGGGTGTTAAAGTGCGACTTACTTGGGTCGATGGCTAAATTGGTTAACGTGGTTGTGAAATGGGGTGTTAAATTGCGACTTACTTGGGTCGCTGGCTAAATTGGTTAACGTGGTTGTAGGAGGGGTGTTAAATGAGTGAACACGTACGACACGTATGCGAAAGGGCGGTGTTTATTTATTGCGACGAACTTTGAGCACGATGGCTTTTTGGTCGGTAAAGTGAAGAGTGAGTGGATCGGGTTGCAGCGGTCGTAGGTCGAAATTTGCAAAGACGTGGTCGATGCAGGTTCCGCGAATGGTGGTCGGCTGGTGGTGTTTGCAGTCGTCGTGCGTTGCGCGTTTCAGCGAGTGTCGCGACGCCATGTATTCGACTATCCACCCGCTCCATCGCAGTGAGTTCGCTTACGACGCGCGAACGCCCTTCGGGACCCACACGCAGACGCTCGAGCGTTTCGAGCAATCGATCCCAGTGCAGTTCGGAAGCGGACAGCGTGAGGAAGACGTGGGGCCTGCCTAGTTGGCGAATCATTGCAAAGAGTTCTTTGCGCCGCTCTTGCCAGTACTGAATCGTGTTTGGTATTCCGCGCATGAAGCCGAGATCCCGGTTGAGCTTGCGTCGAGAAACTCGCGTCCGCCGCTCTCGAGTTGTTGGCGGGTGAACGAGTCGGTGGTCGCGTTCGTTGGGAACGTCATGGTCTTTTCGGCCACGTTGAAGCGCATAACCTTGGCGGCCATGTACAGAGGAGAAGCGCACGCGGTGTGTAGAGGAGGAAGGGTGCACAGATGGTGGGGGAGTGAAGCGCGCGCGGTGTGTAGAGGAGGAAGGGATGCACAGATGGTGGAAGAAGGAGGAGGAAGCTTGCGGACGGCGCCGCACTACAAGCCTCGAGTATTAGATGCTCCGCATCTAAAAACTTCCTTTATAGCGGTAAGCGCTAGAGGTACGTTATGTTAGCGTGAGAGCATTGAAGAGCTCATTTCACAGAATGCCGGCCTGGGCGTCATTGGTTGTGAGTGAAGAATGACCTCGTTCGTCAATGAAAAATTGTGTCATGCGAATCAAATAAATAATTGAATTCCAGTAAAGATCAAACCCTAGCCATCTGCGCAGCAAGAAGTTGTACCATATAGCCACAATAAAAAAACGATACGTGAATATCATGTTGTGAAAGGAATGTCCTTATCGCAGCATATGTCAGGCTTCAAAAAGAAGTGAATTGAGCAAGGAGTGAGTGTTTTGATACCAACCCAGCACAAATAAGCGCTCCAAAGTATTTAATAGTTACCAGCAAGAGACGCATCAACAAGGGTTACAGTTGCGTAGATTCTCGCGTTGCCCTACGGACGTGTAGTGGGTTGTTCACTGACTCACTGAAGCAATAAATATGGCATAATGCCCGCTTAAATGTGCTTGCAATAGCCATTCAAAGAAACGTTGAAACGGCCAATTTTACACGCACAGTCGTTGATTTTATAACGCCACGGTAGAGACAAGCATGCATAAGTGGATCAGGCTAGCTGTTGAGCGGAAGATGTGCTCGAGTCCCAATAGCGCTTCTATAATCTGTTGCCCAGCCGCAGTGGTCTAGTGGATAAGGTACTCGGAATGCTGACCTGCAGGTCGCGGGAACAAATCGCGGCTGCGGTGGCTGCATTTTCGATGGAGGGGAAAATGCTGTAGGCCCGAATGTAAACATTCGACAGAAGTCTGTCTGGTTGGGTATGAAACTGGGAGATGATTTAGACTCCAACCAATTATCCGATTGGCAAGGTACGATGCAGTGACCATAGAATGGGGTGGTCTCGAATTCACCTAGACTTGAAGAAGGAACGACAGAAACTGATACGCAAGAAGCCAATCAATGAACTAGCACTGAGATTGAAAGTACAGGAATTCAGAGTGTCGCTTCAGAACAGGTACTCGGCTCTTAGTGAGGAAACCAACCTTAGCGTAGATACAATGAATGATAATCTGACGAGTATCATTACGGAGTGTGCAGTGGAAGTTGGAGGCAGGGTAGTTAGACAACACTGGCAAGCGTTCCCAGGAAACGAAGAATCTAATTGAGAAGCGTCAAATCATGAAAGTCTCAAGTACAACAGACAAAATAGAACTGGCAGAGCTTTCGAAGTTGATTAATAGGCGTAAGGTGTGCGATGTAAGAAGGTATAACATGGAGAAAATCGAACACGCTCTGAAAACAGAGAAGCGTCAAAGCAGTGAAGAGGAAACTTGGGATAGCAAAAGTCGGATATATGCACTAAGGGACAAAGAAGGCAAAATAAATACCGATATGAATAGAATAGTTAAAACAGTGGAGGAGTTTTACAGAGATCTACAGTACAGTAGCCAAGACAACCACGACCTTAATACTATAAGAACTAGCAGTAATCCAGATGACACCCCACCAGCAACAATAGAAGTCAGAAAAGCTTTGCAGAGCATGCGAAGAGGCAAAGCTGCTGGTGAGGATCAGGTAACATCAGATCTGCTGAAAGATGGAGGACAGATTGTGTTAGAAAAACTAGCCACCCTGTTTACGAGGTATCTCCTGACGGGAAGAGTACCAGAGTGTTGGAAGAACGCTAACATCATCTTAACACATAAGAAAGAAGATGACAAGGACTTGAAGAATAACAGGCCAATCAGCTTGCTCTCTGTAGTATACAAGCTATTTACAAAGTAATTGCTAACAGAGTAAAGAAAACATTAGAATTCAATCAACCAAAAGAACAAGCAGGATTTCGAACAGGCTACTCAACAATTGACCACATTCATACTATCAATCAGGTAATAGAAAAATGCTCAGAATATAACCAACCACTATACATAGCCTTCATAGATTAGGAGAAGGCGTTTGATTCAGTAGAAATATCAGCCGTCATGCAGACACAGCGAAATCATGGCGTAGATGGAGTATATATAAAAATTCTGGAAGAAATCTACAAAGAATCAAGTGCTACCCTAGTGCTTCATAAAGAAAGCAACAGAATACCAATCAAGAAGGGTGTAAGGCAGGGGGACACAATCTCCCCAATGCTATTTACCGCGTGCTTACAGGAGGTTTTCAGAAGCCTAAAATGGGAACAGTGAGAGATAAGAGTTAAGGAAGAGTATTTTAGTAACCTGTGCTTCGCCGATGACATTGCATTGCTGAGTAACTCAGGGGACGAATTGCAACTCATGATTAAGGAGTTAGACAAGGAGAGCAGAAAGGTGGGTCCTAAAATTAATCTGCAGAAAACGAAAGTAATGTACAACAACCTCGGAAAAAAGCAGCGCTTCGAGATTGGTAATAGTGCACTTCAAGTTGTAAAAGGCTATGTCTACTTAGGGCAGGTAATAACCGCAGAGCCGAACCACGAGATTGAAGTAACTAGAAGAATAAGAATGGGGTGGAGCACATTCGGCAAGCACTCTCAAATTATGACAGGTAGATTGCCACTATCCCTCAAGAGGAACGTATATAACAGCTGTATGTTGCCGGTACTTAGCTATGGAGCAGAAACCTGGAGACTTACAAAGGGGGTCCAGCTTAAGTTGAGGACGACGCAGCGAGCAATGGAAAGAAAAATGGTAGGTGTGACATTAGGAGACAAGAAGAGAGCAGAGTGGATTAGGGAACAAACGGGGGTTAAGGATATCATAGCTGAAATTAAGAAGAGGAAATGGACTTGGGCCGGGCATGTAGAGCGTAGACAGGATAACCGCTGGTCATTAAGGGTAACTGACTGGATTCCCAGAGAAGGCAAGCGGGTTAGGGGAGACAGAAGGTTAGGTGGGCAGAGATTAAGAAGTTTGCGGGTATATATTGGCAGAAGCAAGCACAGGACCGGGTGAACTGGCGGAAAATGGGAGAGGCATTTGTCCGGCAGTGGAAGTAGTCAGGCTGATGATGATGTTGATGATGATGATGATGAATTCTCCAATTATCCACCCCACGAGTGCTTTGAAGACGACACTGCATCGTAGCCCCACAGTAACCCCTGAGGAAGGAACCAAGTCAGTTTCGAAACGTCGAATTTCTTAAAAACTTTTGGTTGGAGCTTAAATCATCTCACTGCTGCAGGCCCGTGTGCTCAGATTTCGGTGCAAGAACCCCGGGCGGTCAAAATTTCTGCAGTCATTCACTACGGCATCTCTCATATTGATGTGGTGGTTTTGGGCCATTAAACCCCACATATCAATCTGACTGACAGCCAGCTGGTAAAATTGTGAAAGCACTAAGTACAGCGCCGGCAGCTTCGTATAGCGGAGGCTTGACTTACACACAGATTCAGACCACGCAAAAGCAGCGATCAGATCACGTTCATTCAAAAGTAAAACGGTTTCTGTTGTTTGGGGTTGGCCCATCCCAGGGCTGCAGATGACTGTCTTGCTGCGAAGCAAAAGCTTTAAAAGTGTGCCTTGTGGTGCTCGTTGGTCCATAATCGTCAGAATAAGAGCGAAAACAAACATATGAAACAATCGGAGAAAAGAACAAGCCATTATTACGGTAGTTCAAAAACTGAGCAAGAAGCCATGATTGCAGGGCAAGATGCGGCTTTAGGGGAAAACGGGGGCAACCCGCCGGTGTAGTCTGAAGAGTACATCTGTCTTGCAAGGTAACAACAATGGACCGACAGCTCCTAGAGTGTAGTGGAAGGCGCTCATTACATAGGCTTCAAGTATCCGGTCTGAAATTCTGGCGGTATATGGTGCTTTGAGACAACATAGCGAGTTGTGTAACACAGGATTGTCAGCTCGCTAGTTGGCTACCTGGACGAAATCATCCCTAGTTGCAGTGGGCGCCAAACACAAGACAACGAACAAGAGAAGGAAGATGATTGATTATCTTTTCCGAGACCATGTGTTTGCACTCAGTGCAATTATGACTGAGTGGAGGAACGAAAGCAGCAGTTGGTGTTCAAGATAGGCTTGTTTCGTGCCGTTGCGAAACCGAGCCTCTTGTGTACGTGAAGGTTAAACTTGAAGGCTTTCCCTGAACGCGAAGTCACACGAAAGTGCTTTTCGTTCATGGATTGATTTGTGCGGTTTAACGTCCCAAAACCACCATATGATTACGAGAGACGCCGTAGTGGAGGGCTCCGGAAATTTCGACCACCTGGAGTTCTTTAACGTGCACCCAAATCTGAACACACGGGCCTACAACATTTCTGCCTCCATCAGAAATGCAGCCGCCGCAGCCGGGATTCGATCCCGCGACCTGTGGGTCAGCAGCCGAGTACCTCAGCCACTAGACCACCGCGGCAGGCGAAAGTGCTTTGCGTAGATAAAAGACACAGTATGATTTTAAAGTGGCGTGGGAAAAAGGAGAATGTAGCTGTGTCCCTTGTCAGAAAACTGAACACATGCTGTCTTCGGGCGACAAGTGGTAGTGTGGGTCGAACTGGCCACGCCAAGAATCAATCGTGGATTTCGATCGCTGAATGATAGAGGATATGAGCTACTTTCTCTTCAAATTCATTGTTAATCGCTGTTGAGAACCACAGTAGTATTATTACCACCTTTTTCACCACTTGCTGTTGGGCCAGTCTGGCGGCCTGCGACGCCATTAGCTGTCGGTGGAGATGCTCGACCACACTGTTGCTTTCTGTATGATAGGCCGTGGTGTTTTGAAAGCACGTGCGAAGTAGTCTCGCCTGCTCATACTAAAGCTAGATTTGGAAGTGCTGGCTTTGGTCAATGCTTTTACGATGAGCTTTACCGCAACAGGGCACTCTCGTCGCAACACATGTTCCTGGCACTGGTCCACTTATGCGTCTAGTACAGGGGCAACCTCAGGCCATCTTCAATACGAGTCAACACACGGGACAAGACACTTAAATACTTGGAACAGCGTTAGAGTAGTATAGGCCCAGCAACTGGGGTACATACCAATGCTGGAAACTTGGCCAAGTACCAGAAAGTTTTTAAAAGACAATTCTTCAAATCAATTTTATATTTTGTTTATTCAAGATGAAAGAAGTATAATTGAAGCAAGAAAATTCAGAATAAGAAACACTATGCAAAAATAAAATAGATGCAATAAAGCGGAGAAGAATAATAATAAATAAGGCGATTTTGAAAAGTGATTTTCATAACCTCATTTTTTAACCTGTACATAAATATCGCAAGGCATCAACAATCTTCGTTTCTCTGTATACAATGAACTAGGCCCTTAAAAGGTAGAATCGGTGGAATTAAATGAAATCTAAAGAGCCGTTGCACTGACCCTAAATGCATGTGGTCGAAACGGCTGTACGACCGAACAAGTATTCCAGCAAATGAAGAAAATATAAGTATTAGAAATATGAATGCCAAAGAGTGCATCGAGTTTTATAGGGAAGGCATAAAGATACTCACCCCAGTGAGATAATACAGAGGTAATCTGTATCATCTCGCAAGAGGGTGAAGCTTTGAAAATATCTTCTAAAAGTTTGTTGTACAAAATTTGTGAGAACAGATACGTCTATATCATTTTCGTGAAACATTAAGGATATAGGCAGCTACGCAAGCTTACACGGCTGTGAGAGGGAGATAATTTAAACCACCACAGCCCTTTAACACTTTCTCAAGACCGTGAACTGTAGTCTAAGTACACAATCAATTTGCCTATAACTTTTGCTAAAAGCACGAGTATGTTACTACCGCAGTAAAAGAGGCACCGTTGTATTGTTTATTAATTAGAAAAGTACGCTCTCAGTGAAAGAAGAGTGCACAAGGGCAAAGAAGTATATGAAGCGTCCTGCGCCACTTTCAAATAGCTCACCTGAGGTGTCAGTATGCCATTAAGCTGGAAGTTTATCACTGGATCAGTCATGTCTGTGAAGACAAGGGTAACCTGAGTGAAAAAAAATATTCAGAGATATAACTTAACGCTACAGACTGAACAGATGAGAATACCCACTACCACACGAAAAACTAAACAAGAAACAGGAGGTTGCCTGGAGACTATTACAGACTCACACGTACCCAAACCCAGTGATCGTGCGCCTATGTTACCCAGACATTTATGCATCCGAAGACTGTAATGCGTGTGGAGCAATAGCGACACTGCAGTACACGCTGTGAGAGTGCACCGGAAGCGTGCAGCAGTCCCTCATGAACCGGGCAGACATGGCAGTCTCGAATCGCGAGGCACGATGGGAGGTGGCTCTGTTCGGCCGCGACCTCACCGATCAACTGTGGGCAGTCCGGCACGCCCAGGAAACCGCCCGTGTCCAAGGACTCGAGGCCGTCAGCTAGGCCTGGAATGCTTGTAGACCCACCCCACTAAATACCACCGGACAATGTCAATAAAGTTTTGACTCACTCACTGGCCAGTAAACAGTCCCTCGCCAAACCCCGCGTCATTCTTGAAGGTTAGGAACGGTAAGTCAGTATCACTTATATGAATGGACAACTTTCATATCACTACAGATGATGCTACAGACACTTGAATACACTGGTGGCAAAGGTGAGAGTCAGAATCTTGGGAGCCACCAAAATTTAGCTACGTGAGGCAGTTTCCTGACTATTATATTAGTGTGTTACGCAAAATATCAACTCAGCTGCTTGCGTGCTTTTATTTTGCTGCCTCTAGAAGAAAATACTTTCAGACATATACGTATGGGGGGGGGGCGGAGGAAAAAAAACGCATACATCTTGGTGCGCTGTTTACACCTGTCTCTGACCGCACGGGGAAGAACAACCTGAAATAGGCCTCTTCCACTTCCTTAGCCCACTCTGGGATGGTGTCCTGAATTTCAGGCCTCGACCTGCGTGAAGCAGACCCCACTTCTCCCATGAAATTATACTTTTTCGGGAATATGAGAAGACAGTGCACAGGGCCCCCCAAAACTACTTGATTTAAATCTCCTATGAAAAAAAAAGAACCAGAAGCTCACCAAATATTTACGTCTTGTGCAAGCAGTTCACATGTTTCTTTTTGCGACACGACATACGCACAGACTGCTATTGAACTCATTACTTACATCTCGTGGCATAGACCTATTCCTTGTTGGCACTGCAGCACTGATCGGTCCTTTAAGTTTGACTAAAGATTGCCCCTGCGGTGCAGCATAATAAAATACACTCTACCAGCTTGGTGAGTTTGTAGCTTTTTTTCACATTTGGTTAATGTACGTGTAAGACTTCTGAATGTGTAAATTCTTTCAAGTGAATGATTCTCTCATGCTGTCCCTATACAATTCTAGGTACTGGAGTAATATCCGCATTGGTGGGGAAGTCTCAATTCCTAGGTTGTAGTACAGCCGAAGTGGTGCCACAAGTATAAGCACTATGCAATTGCATCGACTAAATTTCAAGAATGACATGATCACTAGACAACAAAGGAGAAAATTACCTTGATTAGGTGCCATTCTTAAATACATGATGCTTGTTGTCGCTAGAAAGACATCTCATGTGCTCTTTACACGCCGCTTTACAACTCCTGCATTCCTTTACACAAGTACTCTTGCCCGACAGTGTGGAGATCATTAATTGCAATACATAGTATGTGAGAAATTGAGTGGAAATGCTTGTCATTGAAGCTGCTAACGCTGTCTTTGTAGCCGGATTGCATGCGCGGAATAGTTACTCACCACCAGTTACAATTTACGTAAGAGACTGAGGCTTTGAAAATAACTTCTCAAAGTTGGTGCTACACGAGTCGATAAAAGATACGTCTATGACATTTGCGTGGAATATTAGGAATATATCCAGCTTGCACAAGAGCTCAAAATTAAGTTTTAGTGTTAATTAGTGTTCTATGTTTTTTGTGTTTGAATTCTTATCATATGTACCTTTTTTCCTAAATTCAACTCGTGGTAGAGCATTGCGATTATATATAAAGTTAGAGTGCTGAACATTAAATAGGTGGAACTAAGACCTAAGCATCAAACTAAGAACTAAGCATCAAAGGAAGATTTTTTATTTGTAAGTTCGTCTATGTTCGATGTTTCGAAAATGCCACTTATAAAGAATGATTGATCAGGCTGAGACTACAAATTTACCTAGGCTATCCATTTCAGTTACAGTTTTGTAATTACCAGCAGTCAACGGATCTATGAATATTTTTGCGTAGGCTTCATACTTTCGGACAAAGAGGTACACAAACCTCCCAAAATTTTATTTTGTATAAAATTGCAATAAGGCCTTGCGAAATATTTTAGTTTTTAAAAAAATTCTGGGCTCTCGTCCTTTCAGATGTCATCATTGCTATGCTTTGCATTTTAAATTATCTAAGTGTACTACGCGGTAGAAAGCATGGACGGGAAAAACACAAGGACAAGCGCAGATCATGTATCACCAACTGCCCCAATCGCCCACTTTGATTTGCATTTTAAAATTCTTTATCGGATTCCTTTGCCATTGCAAACAGACAGAAAAAGGCGGAGTTTTGGACCATAAGCTAAAGAGCATTGACTTTCTGCGAATATCCGAAGGAAAGTCTCACGTTGAGATTCACCTACTTTTTCAGTCAATGTGTCGAAGAAAAAGCACCAACTGTATTTGAAACCATGAATACACGACCGCGATGAATGGTCTGAGAAATAGCAGCAACTCTCAAATACAAATTTTCTGACTACAGGTCAGGCGTCATCTTTCTATGTCTTTTTCGGCCACTTGAACTCACTCTTGACATGAGGACATCCATTCCTATCTTGTTTTCCTGTAACACTGCGAGACACAAATCTGGAAGAGTTGGTCTTGTTTCGTAGATTTTTTTTCTCGAAATCTTCTGAACAGTATTATTATAATTTTCAACTCGATCATCTTGAAGAAATTACCATGGTTTTTAGCTAAAAAGTCCAGCGTCTTGGCACCATTTTCGTCAGTTCGAATGGTGACCGGATGAGTCAGTACAAGGATGCCCATTTGGGCGCATTGGTGACCATACATGTCTAAAAAAACAGCGTGTAATTGAAGAGAAGACAAAAAGTGTTATAAAGAGGTGAGAGGGCTAATGCTGTCCGATTACTCCTTATTTTGTCTTCGTTTCACCTATGTGTTGTTTCTTCACAGCATGTATGGACGGGCCCGGTGAAAAGTCACCTGTGACAACCTCCCAGCCCTCACGAAAACAACGTTGCCACACGAACGATATACGCATAAATTTAACTAACGCAACCTCGTAAACGCCAGTGTAGCGTCACGTGACTTGCACTCCGCGCGCCCACTCTCTGCTTTAGTTCACTGACCACAGAGCGCTAAATGAAGCGTAGCTCACGGAAACCTGTTTCAACTCGTAGAGTTCGCTAAATAAAACAGAACTGCATGATATGGCCCGCAAACTCGGTAACAAAAAGCTAAGCACAATAATGAGTTAGTGGCGCCAGCTGATAACTCGCAGTTCTGCCAGCCTTGGAATTTAGTAGACACACTGCGAAAGGTGAAGAGATTTTGCAGTGCCTATCACTATTGCGCGGCCCAGACGCTACCCTGTTAAACAAAGTCGTTTAAGGAAAACAGGGTCATCGTGTACAAATGTTAGCACAAAATCACGTCATCAATTTAAGATGAGGACATAATGGTTAAAGCAAGTCTGATTTGGATTTTTACACGTAAGAAATGTCCCTATACTGGTGTTTCGGCATTAGCCCTCCTGACTCCGTCCTCGCAGACCCAGTGCCTGGATTCAGGAGCACGTCCTGGAGCTTAGCAACACGACGCCTATATAGCTACGCTAGCCCGCAAGGACAGAAAGGGTGGGTATCATTGCTGCAGAACACTTTGTAATGCATTTATACCTACTTACCGCATTTAAAACGTCCCTATAGATGAGACTAGGTCCTTAGTTCCATTGAACGCACGTTGATATATGGGCCCTACAACCACACAGAGCTCGACGGTGAAATTATTTGGTAACTTGCTTTTATTTGTTGCTTCTGCAAAATAAGGCGGAAAGTTTAAAAGCCCTTCCGCTATTGGGGAAAGGAGACAATGAAAGTTCGGCGTGCACGTGACTTCCCTACCACTTTTCTTTCTTTTAGGGGCAAAGCTCCTTATAACGGCACCTCTCCATCCCTCGTAGTCGTAGAAGTAGTGTGCTTCCAGTCTTACATTTTGACCTCCAAGGTGGTGGCGGTGGGAGATTTCTTCTGTGCGTTGTTGAAGAATAAAAAGTTCGCAACGTGCGCGTTCACTAAAAGTCAAGTTCTCCTGTCTCTCATTCCCCCTTAGCAGCGATTGACATGTACATTGAGCACTATCTGACAAGAAAGGGTTGCTACGTTATACTCGCTGGGCGTAACCTCCTTGGTTTTAGAAAGGTTTAGCGAGCGTTGGGACGCAGTGCCATGAATACAGTGAACTAGTATATACCATGAACTACGAGGTGGTTAAAGGTGGGAAGTAGACACGAAGCGCAAGCCGTGAGAAAGTGTTGTGTGTGCCTCCTCTCGTTCAGTCCTTGGAATTCCCCGGATGGCAGGTGCTTCTATGTGAGGAATATATGATGAAAAGCATACGAGAGTTGGTACAATTGGAGTGTTGAATATATATATATATATATATATATATATATATATATATATATATATATAGTATATATATATATATATATATATATATGGGAAAAAGTGTATCTTAAGGGCTCGTTTTTCGGTTTAACACAATATTAATGAGATACAACAGCACAACAATGCCAAGGAAGGTATAGGGGAAGTTGTTAGGCCAATTGTAATCTAAATGAGAAAAAAAAAGAAAAGTGAGTGAAAAGATAACTTGCCGGGGCAGGATTCTGAACCTGCGACCTTAGGACTAACGCGTTCGATGGCTCTACCACTGAGCTTACCGCACGACAGCTATCCCCCCCGCCACGTTTATTGGGTATCTATGTCAATTTAAACGTGGG